GCGTTGGAAAACAGAGTGGACAGCTGCCTCCCCAGCGAGATTTGGGACATGAGATATGTTGTATTTTAATAACACTCGTGGACTAGATTCCAGAAATGATTTATCTCAAAAATGAATTATCCTTTTACCTAGCCACGAGGGTCTGGATACGGCTATGGAGGAGTATTTTCTTATTTTTATAGTGACGTTTTCCAAAGTCTGAATTATCATTAAACAGAGCATTATTATAATCTGATAAACCTATAATTAGTTATATTACAGCTGTTACTTGAAATTTGAGTATACATTTTCTCAAATAATTAACTTCTTCATAGTTTTCAACTCATTAATCTTGAGAAAAAATGGAAATCGATCAAAATTCCTTAACAATATTTGTTCCTATTTGTATCTAATCGTTATTATATAATATTTTAATAGCACATTATATAATATGTTTTGAACACAAAGTATATACAATATACATAATATATTATTCAAAGTAGTTTTTCTCTAATAATTATGAATTTGGTTCATGACAACTAAAATACATGATAAAATATTTGATATTAAAATACATATGAAATTAAGTACCTACTGAATAACGTATAGACGGCTTTTTATAGAAATAAATTATAACATAACATTTTTTTTAGGCTAAAATTATGCCAACAATGGTCGATAGTTTTTATAACTATAATTTTATTTTTAACTACCCATATCAATAAATATTTACGATGATATTAAAATATCTGTATAGTAAATAATGATTGTAAAATTGTATATTAAACAAAAATTAGGTTACGGCTGCACAGCAACAAAAAAATCAATATAGGTACAGCTTAAAATATATTAACGATTTTATTTTTTATAAAGGTTCGTACGAAGATCTTTAGTGTTATAAGAGTGCTTATGTTTTAACCTTTTTTATTCATTATGCAATATCTACAAATTTAATTTCCATAAAAACCGTTGTACAGGAAATCATTTGTTGGAATCTCTAATTAAGGGGTATAAAATATTTACTTTGAACGCAAATTATTATATTTTAAAAATAATTTTAAATATTAGTTTTTTTATAGGTATATCTTAGGAATCAACACTCTGTATTTTAATTATATTAAATTTGTAGAAAATATATTAAAAATATTAGGTAACTTAGACAAAAGTATTTCAAGGAAACAAGAAGGTACTTTGGTTAAAACTGAAACAAAGATAGTCATAATATAATTATAGGCTACCTACACTTATGTTATATCGAAGTATAATAAGTCAAAGTAAACATTATTACAATGAAAATATTTATTTTCATACACACCTAGGTTTATGCCGAAAATATAGAACTTAAAAGGAAAATAATAGATTATTTTTATAATCTATAATACGATCACATCTTTGATATTTTTAGTATGATATGGTAAGTATTGGTTTAGGAAATATTATTTAATAAGTACATTATAATTTATATTCTATAAAGACTCGATTGAATTATATAAATTCTACTATTTTGGTCCCAGCATTCATAATAATTGTTAATTGGGTTATCTGTATGAAACAAATGAGTTTAAGCATAAACCTCATGTTTGGTACGTTTAGATAATAATTCAATATAAATCCACAAACCTACAAACAATTAAATGCATATGGTTGTACAGGACAATATTTGAAATAAATCATATCATATTTAATTGTATTAAAGAAATAAAATATGGTTAAAAAACTATTCATATTACAGGAAGATCAGATGGATAAAAATATAAATACATAGATATATTATAGAATTGTAATTAGTTTTTAATTTTTATTTCATAGTATAAAACTTCTATAAAATAAATAATTTAGTTCTTTTAATTATAATTGATAAATACTACATTTTTGGGTTTACATTGGTGGAACATGTTTCCACTCTTGTGTTGACACTACTGAATGATTCGTTTTTAATTTCACATATTGTCTTTAAGTTTAGATACAATTGTGTACGGTGTAAACATGGGCAGAAAGGCTCTCGAGAGAAAATTGAAACGAATTGTTAAAAACACCGAAAACCCTAAGGGACAACAAAATACAGGGATTTTCCGTTTACATTTGGACGATAATAATTCATTGTTAGTGTACATCGACACTGAGAGGGCGACCGAGTTAATTGCAAACTTAAACACCAGTATATAGGTAGTGAATAAATAAAATCATTGTCACGTCATAGGTAAGGATGATTCTGGTATTGAAAAACAATTAAAAAAAAACACTAACGTTTAAGCATTAAAGGACGGACAAGATATTTGGAAATTGGATTACTTGGTTTTAAAATGTCAATCTTTTCAATTATAGGTTATAGATACATCTATGTGAAACAATGTCAATTTCAAACCTTTCATCCTGAATTATAATGTTTTATTTGTATATATATTATTAAACATGCATGACCGTCATGGTCCCAAATTTATTTTTGTTGTAGATACTAGAACAATTTTAGACCAAGACAATACGCTTTTGCTGACAACAATTTTATAAAGAAACCTATTTTGATTTTTAGGAGCAAAACTTAACTATTTGTGACAAATATAATATAATATCTTGACATTGGACTTAATAAATTCAATTTCGTACAAACAATTTGAATGGTTTATTTAGATTTTGTTGCATATATGTATACAGTATAGTAGATATAACAATTATTTTTAAATGATTTGTGTATAATTTTAACAGTTAATTATAGAAGATTATAGAATAATATTATAAACATTAAACACCATTAATAATTTTTAACCAAAAACCAAATTTAAGTTTGATAGTAGTATTTAAAAATGATAGATCATTAGATAAATTCATTACAGTCATTAAAAATAGTAAAAAAATTTATTTTATTTGTCACAAATTAATTTTTATTTGACTTTAAAAGCTACATTTTATTTTATTTTTTTTATTCTAGTTTAACCTTATTTTTTTTTTTTATATCAAATTTGACGGGTTAACAGACACGAATTTTCGATCACGATGGCCCCGATTCATAATTTGTTCTGCACATACAATTTAAAAATATTATACATGATAAATAACATTCACGCTTATCTTGGTATTGTATATTATAGTAATAATGACAATTAAACGCTAAATACATTATTATTTATTATCTGAACGGCTATTTTGCCATAAAAAAGTCCATTGATTGTTAGAAATTTAGGTCACTCTAAACCTGCGCACTAAAAAATATATTTAGACGGTACGAACAATTTTGACGGTTACCTGCGGGACTTACATTTAAGTGCTAACTTGCAACCCTCCGCCATTGTCGTCCTCAACTTAACTCATGTCACGTACTCACGTCCAAACACTTAAAATCTTTTAGTCATTGATACCAATGGTCATAAATCAGAATGATATATCTGTTTTGCATTCATGCGAATACTCGTTAAACGAGTAGAATATTAATTTAACTTTTGAGAGTATTCTAACTGAATTATTTCTGTTGTATTCACGAAAATAATAAAACAATTAATAATCAATGAACGCGCCGATTGCGTAGTGTATGAACATGGTCTTATACGTATGAGTTTAATACACGAGATAATAACACTTCGAAACGTCGTAAAAAAACATTCAAAACCAAGTTTAATAAAATAACACGCATCATAGAACAATTATTATTGTGATACATTATGTGTGATTAAATTTAGGTTCACGGAATAAATTTAATAGGCCATCCTCTTACCATAATCCAAATCACGCATGGCATAGCTATAATTGCTTCTAAAAACTTTTAATAAATTTAAGTGTTAAGTACAATACCAGTACCTAGTGACTGTTTACTTGAACCATTTTATAATATCATAACCAAAATATACAAAAGCAGCAGACATATTTAAATCAAATGACAGTTTGTATTAATATATGTTTAATTGTATGCGCTATATAAACAATTATTCCTTCAGATACGAGTAGCTTAGTTCAGACGTAACAATAGTGGGTAAACTAATATAACTAACTTCACTATACAATATTACAATGTAATAAACATTAAAGGATTTAATCGTTTGCTTTAGAATCTTTATGACTACGATTAATTTGTTCGTTAGGTGAGTTTAGTATTATTTGCCCCTTCTTAATGAATCTAAAATAAGCATAATACCTACTTATATTAAATATATATTACAACGCATTTGAATTTTGAATTAAACTGAGTATTAACTGTAAAATATTTTATACATTTAAGAATGTTTTCAATAATGCATATTACCTATGTACTTAACTATTCAAGTCTCAACTGTAACAATAGTATATTATACGATTAATACATTTAACATGATAATATGCCAGGAGGCACAATAATTTTTTACAATTATAACAATAATAGAGCGAATCATAGATACAGTTTTTTTTAGTTTAAGTACATATATTATATATGATATTTATAGTGGATATAACGACGTTCTCGTAAAATATGTCATATGCATATTTTTATTATTTTTTAAAATAATTATTAATTAAAAAATGATGAATACATATTACACTGTGTCACAAGTTAAAATGCATTATTTTACAATATAAAATTAAATATAATAATAATATTATTATCAATCGAAATGTATTAAATAGTTCAGATGCAAAGATAAATCAAATTGTCGGTTGAACTACGAAACGCATTTAACCATTTTTATAGTGTTTCAACTCGTTTAACACGTGTTGGACAACAAACTTTTAAGTAAAACAGAGAACAAGGATTTCAAAAAAGACGAAACGACTTCAAATAATTAAAACATGAATTTATACTATAAAAATAACAATAACAGTAATGGAGGGAAACGAACGAGAACAGCTAACAAAATATCATACGTACATAGCACGTGATGCATTCAAACACAATGATAGGTAAACTAGCGTACGAATGTATGACGCAGGAATAATAAGAAGTTAGTATTCTCGGTGAGCGTTGACCCGTGTGCAGTGAAACAGGCTGGGAATCGGGGGTAAGTGCATTATTATAATATAATATAATGTGTGTGTGTCACATTATACCTACGGTTGTGGATTAAAAAAAAATCGTTCTATAAGGGAAGCAAGGAATGTAGCAGGTTTATCGTGACTTATATTCGTTAAATTACACTTAAAGTTGCACAGGGTATTTCACGGTTTTTATCTGTATCTTACATATATTATCCGCCACCCGACAATATATTATGCTCCTCTACCCACCGCATGAACTTTAAAACTTTCTTAACTATTTAAATAATGAAAATTAGTAAAATTCTACTTTTAAAATATTTACAATCGACTTTTACGAAACACGGTTTCTAAAGTTTAAATAGACCGGGCAAACATGAGAGAAATTATAATAACCGTAACTCGGTATAATGCAATAATAACTGTTCAAAATCATAATTAAAAAATACAAATAATTAGAAAAATAGAAGTTATTTACGGGAACGAACACGGCAAGAAACAGGCCATAAATATTCTATAATGCTCACATAAATTATAAATTATACGCAATAAATCGTTATACCTACGCGTCTACGTGGTATCGGATCTGTGCCATAACATATCGGCCATATTTGACAATGAGCGAAACAACTCGACGACGTGGCAACTAGTGCACATGACACAGATGTCGTACTTAGGTAGGTAGGTAACTAATAATATGGATGCACACGAAATGACTTTGCGTACCGATGCGTAATGCGACGATCTTAATAATATGTTGAATACAAAGGGCAAAGATACGAGAGATCAGAGGTACTTACCAATCACCAGCGACATTATATATTATTATGATCTCAGTAGGTTTCTCAGCATTAATCTATTCGATTAAGAGGTGTTCCTTATGATATTATCCGAAAGCTGCAAGTGCTGATATATTATTATGATCGTGACGGTTAGACCCTTACACCACACCTCAGCCGTACCCGAGAGTTCTACGTTTTTACACATTATTTAAGGACCAAAATAAAATATTATACTATTGGTAAATATAATAATACATCTATAATCTATATACATATAACCGTAAATAAGAATTAATTACCAATACGATAATGAGGGTCATTCGTCAGTATAATATTAGAATTTATTGTTGAAAAAAGTTGATGAGAAATAAGTCAAAATTATTGTATTTTAAAACGGTAAATGCATTCGAATATTATTGCACGTGTTGTATCGAAAGTACTCGAATATTTATGAGTTCCTACTTACACTGTGGCACGATTAGCTAGATGCGCAAAAGTACGACTGCAGAAAGTCTCCGTCGTCCGAGGCATCGCAGTGGTCTCGGCGTTGGGGATGAGCTTTGGTGGTCGGGGCTGATGGCGGCGAATCGTGGCGGTCAACAGGACTACAGGGCCACGTCACATCCACCGTCGTCCACGGGTTGGGTGACGCTGATGTGGATGGCGCTGTACGGCAGTATGCTGGTGATGGTCATGCGGCGGCTGCCGTGGTGGCCGTGGGCGCAACCGCACAGCGCCGTGGTGGCCGTATGCTATTTGAACCGGAGCGCGCACTGCTGGAACACCAACACGGCCACGACGGCGGCGAGCACTACGGCGCCGGCCGCGTACACGAGTGCGAGATGTACGAGGCTGGTGACGTACAGCGTCCGGTTGCACCACACGTTGGGCTCGTACAGCGACGACGGCTCCGAGTCGGGCCAGTACACGGACAGTATCCAATAGTTGCCCAGCGCGAACCAACCGGCCAGGAACGCGGCCAGCCCGACGGACGCTATGCGCGACCCCATGGACGACACCATGTCTTCCCGCGTGCCCATGTCCGGCCGCCGGCGCTTGTTGTACCGCAGCGACTTGACCTGCCGGCACAGCAGCCACACCATCTTGATCATGCCAAATATGCCTCCCACGATCATGTACACCGGTATGTGCGGTTCCCGCGGACAGTCCCGGACGAACTCGACGCCTGCAACAAGCCAAAACCGACGACGAACGCCATCGTCATCCGCCGCGTTATAATATAATTATTATTATAAAATCACATTTTATTATTTTGTCACTATAGGGATATAGTGGCTGGCTGCCACTGGCACTGTCACTGTGCATAATATAAATATACTTCCCACAAGTGTGATGTGCATGTGCAAACGCCAGTTGTATATATCGTGTCATGTCAGGGTGATTATTATGTCCCGGGACAATCGATATTCCTTGACCCGACCTATGGCGCCCACGCCTGTGTGGCCCAAACTCAATTCGGTTCGGTTGGTTACGTTTGGGTTGGGGATTAGGTTGAGCTAATCAATTCCTATACAGAGGTCCTAGTTACTAGTAAAGAGGAGGATATTATTAGACACTTATTTCTGGCAGCGAGACAATCGTGTAATATTGCATTTTGTTGTTGTCAGTTCTTATGTGTTTCACAGCCCTAAGACTGTTAATTAGAAATATTTATTTCACCGAAAAACGATGCGACTATATAACAGAAGAAAAGTATAGTATCTATCGCAAGACGATTTCTCTGCCAGTTTTCACTGATCTGTCCAACTTTTATTAACTATATTTATTGTCCAAGTAGTTACCTACTACATATGTGGCTATATGTAACAGTTGGTCGATGTATAAATATCTCGGAAAAACACACACTTCATAAAAAGAACGAATTCGACTAATTAATGCCACATCATTTGTACATTGTTCATAAATGATGATAGGTATAAATGTATATTATAATATATTATAATAAACATTCTCCTACACTTAATTTAATCTCGGCAATGGCTCTTCTTCTGATCAGTATTTTGGAAAATGATTACTAGATAATAATAGTGAGACTAAATTAGTATGCAGTTACATGGTTTGAAAAAAAATGTGTTTACCTAAACTACTTAAATGGATGTAAAATATGTTGAAAAAGTCTGCATCAATTCTTAATACAAACATTTATCAGGTACCAATTATTTTTACCAAGTATTTTTTGAACAGGTTAGTTTATAGGTTATTTAGATTAAATGTATTTCTAAGGTGATATTGAAAAAAGTTTCCTCAAATTATGGGTAAAATTATATGAAATAAATAATGAGTGTACAAAAATATTCTGTATTGTTATTTAAACTTTCACTTTTAACAATTTAAAGAATTTTGATTTTTGTTATAAAATAAATCATTATCTGGCCATAAGCTGAGTTGCATCAAATCTTCTAAGAATTAATACAGTAAAAGCTAACTTCATCTTATTTTATTTCCACCTACGTACTGATATTGTACAATAACATTGTTAGACTGCGTATCTTATATTTGTTATCTCTTCTTAACTGGTTATTAAAGGTAAAATTGAGTATAATAGATGACTGAAAAATAACGGTTTCAAATAAGTTTTCAAGAAATTATAATTTATGTAAGAATCAGAAACATCTCATCAATATTGCATAGTTTTTCTCAGTATTAACTCAGATGTTAGAATACAATTTCTGAAAACCGATAATTTGTATAATTAAATACAAAAACCAAAAACAAGGGATTTGCTGTAGCATAATCCACTTAGTGTTAGGTTATTATTATTAGGATTGGACAAATTATCTACAACAAATGTGAAAACAATTATGAAAATGTTGACGGTTCCTAATTTTTGTTTTAAAATACATGCTTGAAGACAATATTCAAATAGTTATTCATCAATATGTAACCTCTGAGGCTCTAAATCGGGTGATATGTGCCCTATGTATTGTAAAAAGGAAAAGTGCTTCAATCAAAATGCAGTCTGTAGTAAGGAGAAATATAAATAATAAATATAAAAATGGGCACGTCACAACTGTTAATTAGTTACAATGAATTGATTGTTTACAGAAAGATCAATAAATATCTATAAAAAGTCAAAAGTTGACTACTTTAGTCATTTTCGTTTGTTTTATTATTTTGTTTCTGATATGTGACAACTATAACAAAAAATATTTTTTTAAATGTGAGTGTTGATCTTACGCTATTTTTGTTTGTTTGATCATATCAGTTTTTAATTTTTAAACGAAATATATTTTTTATTGTATTCCCATATTAAAAAAGAATATTGACCAATAGTTTTACCAAAACAAGAATGTTTTGACTTTTTGAGTTTTCACGCCATAAATTATTTATTTAGACATTAGATAGATAATCGTTGTATAAATTATAAAACCATAAATACATATTATGAACAGAAATAACTAACTGAAAAATGTATTAAAAATATAAACACATAATATTTAAGTTTTATTTTGTATCATATAATATAAGTGTTATGTAGTTAAATTGTAATGTTCGTATTAAAAAAAAGACAACATATGTATTTTTTGTATATCTATATTAATACCATTCGTAAAATATTTAAGTATACAATTTCGAAGTTGACTAAATTGTACAACTGTTCAACTTCTTTATATACTTATTATAATATTAAGTTATTTTTGTAAAAATAAATAAGTGAGTATAAACATGTTTAATATCATATTTATATAAGTACCATTTCTAAAGCAACTGTATTATATAAATAAAGAAGCTGGACTAAAAGAGATGGGTATGATTACCTAATATGATCATTATGCATTTATAAACATCCCAAAATATGTTGTACATTTAAATTTGATTTCCTATACCTATCTGAAAACTACATTTACCCGTACTATGTATATAAATATATTAAGCACCATAAATTATTATTAAATGCCAATTGCTGTTTTAAAAATATAATGAAAAAAATGAACCAATAATTCATTACAGATCACATTTACAATATTTATTTAATTCATAAGCCATCGATATACTGCAATGGTTGCATATTACATTAACTAAATTCAAATTTATTGAAGAACTGTAATGACGTTTGAGGTTTTTCGTTAAACCGCAATATTTGATTAACATGAAAATATTAAATTATACACTAAAGTTACTTTAATTAGTTGTATTATGTATAGGTACACATAGAAAATTATACTTTAAAATTAGTTTTTATAGCTAATACATATACGCATGCATTCGCATAATGTGATTAAATAATATTTGCTTTGATTAAATATATACTCTATATTATAACAAAACTTACCGACAACGAACATAATTAAAGGCACCACCGTGAAAATGGACAAAATTACCGTCATTATCACTGAAATCATAAAATTTTTAAATCCATTATTATAATTGAGCAGTCAAAAACTAAACAATTCGACAGTTCACAATATGGATATCGCAATTTAAAAAGTTCTTTTTTAAGAGTACCTAACTAATAAGTAACAATATCTTTCATGTTAGTCAATGCAATCAATGTTGAAACTAATAACAGATGTGATCTATTTAGTTTATTCTTAAATATATTTTTTATATTTCATCTTTTTTATGTTGGTTATTTGAGTTTATAATGCTATTATTATTGTACCTTGTGTTAAGATACTTAAGAATTACTTATAGTATTTATCTGATAATTAATTCTATCATAAATATAAATAAGAGACTTAACATTGAATGATACTTTAATACATTTGTTTATTAGTTATATTCATTGTGTTAAGTATGTAACATTACTTCAAAATACAATATAACATTATATTCAAAAGAATAGGATTCCCCCCGTAAACTGTATTTTTTTTCAATAAAGATAACAAGACACGAATGGTAGGTAGGGAACTATTTCTTCAAGAGGCTCACAAGTGATTTTTATTGTCCTCTGGTCCGGTGAACTCGTGGTTCAGTAGTTCGAAATCCTTTTCAGGTAAATTTACCAGAGAAACCAATAAAATACGACAGCTCTCTGTGAGAACTGTAACATATAACAAATAATCTCGTGGGAACTTCTAAAATCTTTGTTAGTACCAATTAATCTCGAGACAGAGACAGATTTATAGAGATACATTGAACTAATTGTTCAGATTATACAAAGTACACATTACATAATACGTTTTCAGAAAACATTCTCGTAGACAATTACAATTGAATAATAATTACTAATTAGTAATAACCCAACTATGATAACCCAAATTTTTCTTGGATTCAGATTTTTTGTATTTGAGCAGAATTCTCTCTTCTTGAGCTGCACACAGTAAAAAATTTAAATGTTTATTAATCATTAACTTCAATGCTCAAGTGTCGTAATGCACACTTAAAATACAAACTGTATTGTAGGTAGATGAATTCATGATATTTTTTAATTTGTTAAGTGCCTAATGTAATTGTATATTTTACCAATATATAAATTCCCAATTTATAATTCATTATACTTTCAATATTTAATTTTCATGAAAAAAAATAAAAGGACAATGTATATTATATTAATTTGTATATACCTAATCATCATATTAAATATAGTTATAATTTTTATCAACCCGCTTTTAAGTTATTAAATATTAAAATTGATGGCACATGTCAAATGGTATGCTTTCATTTCACAATATCAAAATCAATATTTTCAGAAAATTTCTATTAGTAGACGCAATAGCTTAAAATGCTAATAAATTATAATAATAATTCAATTTCAATTTGTCATGGATAAAAGTTAATTTATTGTATAAAAAGATTGTTTTTATAACAATTTACTGTCGTGAAACTGTCGAAATAATGCTTAATATATATTATTATTAGTATTATTGTTTTTATTATAAACCATTGTTTATTGAAAATAATATTAAATTGAATAATTTATAACTATGATGATTGATAACTAAAGAACAAAAATGTATTTTGTTTATTTACAGTTTACCACCGACAAGGGATAAAATATACAGTGCATATTATTTTATCATATATAAAATGTTAACAGAAACAAACAGTAAAAACACAAAGATTTATTTAATAAAAAATATACATTTTCAATTTAGGAACTTAACCAAATTTTATGTAACATAAAGGACTATTAATTATTATCTTTCTTAGAAGCAGGGGAAGAGTAAGAAAACAAAATATTTTTTAAAATTTATATAATATGCATACCTAATTATAGTGTTTATTTACTTTGATTTTTAACCATCGTTAATCTAAAACTGAATTAATCTAAATAATCAAATATGTCAACTTATAATTCAAATTTAAATAAATACTTGTTTAAATTAATATTTGTCTGTGGCATTATTATAATATAATATATTATGTTAATTCTTGAAATAATAAGTGATTTGTACCTCTATAAATAATACGGCACAGTCAAAAATATTTAATATCATATTAACAGTTCAATCCGACCTACATTTGTGCCACTGGAATCAATACGTTTTATAAATCTGTGGGTGCTTTATGCTCTTTTTAATCAACAGTCATATAATACTGGTACACAGTAATAACTTGTAATTCTCACATGATATGAAATTTTCATTAACTAAAATTGTTTTAAAACTGAAAATATTGTCTATACCTACCATGTAACGAGTTGACATGTCAACGGACAACGATCCATAGTTTATGCAAACTGTTGTATTTTTTTATTTCGTCTAATATAGATGGAATATATAGATAATAATGATATTACAAAAAAAACTTAGCATACTAAATAACATTTTATAAATAAAACGATAAAATACAAAAGGTAAATAGGTATGTATTATACATTATGACTACATCACTGGGTAAATGTATTACCTATTAAAGCGATAGTTCCTTTTAATTTTATTAATCTAAAATACATTTATGCAGTTATATTTTTAAAAATGTAGACAATTGTAGAACAATATAATTTACGGCATACGTTAAAATGAGAAGTTAAGTGAAAATCCAGTATAATTAACTGTAGTTTTAAAATAGTATCAGCAGAGAACTAATTATATGCTATTAAATTTTGTATAGGTACCTACCTAATATTCCATATTATACTAGTCCCCATTAGAACGTCAGTGCACCATGTGACTGAACAGCACATTCGATAAACATTGTAACGTATTTCCCTATTATATAATTAAATATTGCAGGTATTTATTTATTTTAAGAACCATGTTATATTTTCCTTAAATAAACATTAATAACAAAAGTAATATTTGGCAAATAATTTATGTTGTGCCATTGTTATCACCATGAATAGCGTTTTGAAAGAAACGCCACAGGTAATGTAAATATAAAATATTTTAGTTACTCTACCACATTTACCATAAGTAATTGTATTTAGGTACAATCAAATAATTCATTATTCGTAGAATTACACCTGCGTTTTGAAATACTTAAATATATTGGTTTTATAGTACTCTATCTTTTATTTTTTTTTTTAGTAATCCTTTTTTGAACAATTTAAACACTAACAAAAAGAATCATGAAGCAATTAATTGAACACATAATACCTGGGAAGGGACTTTAAAAGGTGATTTTGATGTTACGTTTCATGTCTATGTTGTTCTTATACAGTTTTACTAATTTAAAAGAGTGAACTATTTAGTCTAAACAGATTATAATACAAGGTAATCCATTTAAGTGTTATTTAAAAAAGTTTAATTTTTTTTGATTTTTTTTTTTTAATATAATTTAATAATATGCGTTTTACTATGTTTTATCATTGTTATTTTTAAGTGTTTTACTTTTATGGATGATAACATCCATTTTAAATTTCATAACCAGAAGCAGAAGCTATAGTTTACACGTATTTTAAGTTTGTATGAGTGAAGTTGTAGTGGACCGACATTTTGCGAGGTAATATGTCAATACTCAGCTCATTATATATTTTAATATTTATGGGAAATAATTAATTACATGTCATTATGTATCGAAATACTTTGAAAAATATTCTGCTTCAAAATATTAAATTTAAAATGGAAGTTGTCTGTGATAACATTAAATTATGAAAAAATAATATTTTCAAAACAGATAAAGCTTGATGAACTAATTAGTATAACAGAAAATTTAAGTGGGTCACCTTGTATATAGCTCTTTGATAATTCTTGTTAGTCACAATAATTCTTATTAAGCATTTAATATTACAATCTAATATTTACTACATATTTGAAATTCGATTTTGTCATGTTTCTAAATCGTTTAAAAATATTCTGCTCCAGAATATGATAATGTATGTTCTGTCATTCAACAAAAATTAATACTTAAAAATCATGATGTAAGTAGTAACAAACTAACAAAGTTATTTTTAATGAATTAAAATTATCTAAAAACCATAAAATATAAATATATTGTATTAAAAATATGAATACTTTTAAAATTATGCGTGTTTACAGTTGAAATGTTAAAAATTTACCCTGTAGATTTCTAACTAACATTTTGAATGTAGGTAATAAAATAATCAGAATATGTATAATAATACTATCTCGAACTACGGTATTAAAGATATATTTAGTAATATACTAATATATTTAATGATTTGTAAAAAAAATACATTTTATTTTATTGGGAGATCAAAACCATAATAAGTACTACATATCATGTTTGAAACTATTCAAAATTCTACGAATCCGTTATTTGAAAATAATGAACCTTTAATTATTTTTGAAAACCACACATACCCATAAAACATTTTAGTACTAGAATTACACGTGCATAATAAATTATCATTATTATTGTTTTATATTCATCATAAACAAAGTGTAACCCAACCTAAAAATTACGAACCATCTAATATATTATTATTTTAAGTCTAATATTTGGCTATTACACGAGGGGAAGTAATGAAAACTAATTATATCTACCTATTCATAAAACTACTACCATATCCCATGAACTAGAAATATGCTTTTAAGTAGGTTTATGGTTTTATTTTTTTTTATGTGTGTTATAAACTAATTTAAGCAATAAATATTATTTATAGAAAGCTTAAAAACTTTAAATGTGTGGCGATGATCTTATAATTATTATAACCAGTCACATCAAGTATCAACTCACACGATCAGGGTTAAAAAGATTTGCTATTGATTTTCATTTTTCATTACCTACCTCTAAATATTTTCATTCGCATATTTTATGCTCTCTTTCCTTTGTTAATTCTCAATCTAGATAGGTTATAATATAATCAAAAATATAAATTTTAAATTAATAAATTCTATTATTTTATTAGATTGACATTTAAACTAAAATGTAATTACTGTTTAGTGTTTATTATAGTGTGATTATTTTACATTCATTATTTTAAGTATTTGAAATTTAAACTATAATCAACTAGTATAATAGAATAAAGTAAATTATAAATTAAAT